AATTTCTCATGTTTGATGTTAACATCATTATCATGCTATGGAAGAATCAAAGCACTCTTTATGTTGTTTCCAAAGCATCATATAGTTCTGCACAAACTGATTGTTTTCCTGAAATTATTGCCTGCTCCTTAGAGATGTGATGTGGCCCTAAACTTTTTACAATTCCTAAATTTCAGGTCTTTTTATGTTTTCTGATCAGATAATGAACATAAAATAAATATATGTGAAAATTGCAGGTTCTTTCTGTTGTTGGTTTACTTCAAGATGAAGTTGATCCAATGGTGTCTGTAATGAAAGTTGAGAAGGCTCCATTAGAATCATATGCTGATATTGGTGGCTTAGATCCTCAGATACAAGAGATTAAAGAAGCAGTTGAGCTGCCGTTGACTCATCCTGAGCTCTATGAAGACATTGGTATTAGACCTCCTAAGGGAGTCATACTGTATGGAGAGCCTGGTACTGGCAAAACTTTACTTGCAAAGGTATCTATACTTACCTTTGGTTATTTCCATATCGTAATAATGGATATACATTTAAATATTATGAGAAATTCCACTGCTTAATTGTCACCTTAGTAGAGTGTTATTCACTTTCTTGTGTAGTGGCACTGTGTATTCAAGCACGCATCATTTCTTAGGCTTTTGCAGAATGAATTCCTAGCAGTTAGAAACTATTGATTAAGTTTGAGAGGTAATCTGCATCCCAAGATTGTATGATAGACTTAATGATGTTTCACTTGAATCACTTCACTTGCTACTTACATGTGAGAAGTCAGCAAGTGTAAGGGAGGTGGTAAAGGGTAGACCATTGGAAAGTATAAATTAACATAACGAAAGGGAAAGCATTGTCCCGGAATGACGGCATGAGATTCAATAATTTCACGAGGGGAGGTGATCTTGGCATGAAAACCTTGCAAACATCTTTGTTTGTTCTCTAATTTCATGGAAAGTTACAGGGTTTTGAATAACCATATCTCTTGCCTTGCTGCACTCCCACCACATTAAATAGTTTTCACATTAATATTATTATTTATACTAGCAAGTGACTAAGTGTCAATTAAATTCAGGCTGAGCTAGTAACAGTTTAGGTTATATGGAGCCTGTCATAAGACAAGTTAAAAAAGGGTACATGGAGGGTGACTAATTTATGGGAACGAGAAGTAGGAGGAGAGGAGAATGGCGATAGAGAAGAAAGCTAGATGAAAATTCTAGATTATGTGAATAAATCTATTTTTTGATTTCCATTTATCAGTCAGCTTCCTCTTTCAAAGGATTTGAGTAGTTTTTGTTCCCTCATATGTTCCTTCTTTTATAGATGTTTTAAGATCTGATCTAGCCTAGGAAGTTCTCTATTGGAGGAAAAATGCTTTGCCTTTTATCACCAGCTTTGTGAGTAGAAGCAATGGCTTGCTCCTCTTGTTTCCTTGTCTAGTCACCTCCTATTCCCCTTCAAGTTGCGAGAACCTCTTCTTTAGGACTCTAGGAGGCATAGTCTGTAAGGCTTGCTGTGCTGCCCAAGCACTTAGAAAGGTCTTGATGAAGAGTTTACGTTTAGGTGTGCAAACTGGTGCAGGTGGCTGCATAGCATGCGTTTGCTTCATGTCTGCGACCTGTTTACATAGAATTTCTTGATTTTAAGAATTGTGCGGATGCCTCTCACCTATGCTTTGCACCTAGTCTCAAAGACACGTATAGCTTTACTGCACCATGAACTTTTACTAATGCTGTTACTCATCCGTCAGACATGCTGTTGATTGGTGGCTGATTTAAGTAATTGGGAAGTACTCATATATGAACACCCAAATCATTCTGGGACTAGGCTTTATTGTAGGAAGTACATGATCAGAAGTAGTTAACAGGACCCCTTCAGCATGCTCTATCCTTTGCCTATTATCTATAAGAGAAGTTGCTTTAAGTCTTCTTAATGCCTTTTTGTTTGGAACACAACAATGAGCCACAATTCCTCTTACTGTTTTACAAAGTATCCACTCTTGTATCAGTTGGGCAGTCATTTCTCTACACTTGCCTTATTTTTTATTTTTTCTTTGTGGGACGAGTCTCGGTAATCTTTTTATGGGTGATTTGATTGTGGATGTTCCACTGGATTCCAGAAGGGTAGGTTGAATCTATTGGGATGGGATTCTTGAGCTCTGATATTTTTAGTTTGATTCAATAGTTTAGAGGAACTTCATCAGCACTGCAGATTAGCTAAATATTTGATGTATGAAATATCACTTTAGCACATTTTTCTTATTGGATTTATTGTGTCACTAGTCACCCTTTATGATTATCTGCTAGCTTTGGATTTATACATGTGTTGACCTTATGATTAGGAATTTTCTGTTTTTACCAATGACTGGGCTCCTTGTTAATTCTTAATGTGATATTGACCCATTCTTATTCAGTCTTGCTTACTTCACTGTATCTATATGAGGATGCTTGAGGCGTCGATGTAGAAGAGTACTTTATAATATGATTAGCTTAGAGTATTGTTTTTGCACATGGTGTCCTACTGGTGTTAAGTATGTGAGTGCAGCTGTGCATCTTGCTTGACGTCTGGTATATTTTTGCTGATATAATTTTTTAAATAACTACTTCCTTGCTCACTTCTTGTGGCATTTGCTTCAACCACTCGTCATTTCTTAGAATGTATATAGTTAGCGGGGTGGAGGTTTTCCCTAATGACAATCATCGCTAACTCATGCCGTCTTTGAATTTCCTTAGGCAGTGGCAAATTCGACATCAGCTACGTTTCTACGTGTTGTAGGTAGTGAATTGATTCAGAAGTATCTTGGTGATGGTCCAAAATTAGTTAGGGAACTCTTCAGGGTAGCTGATGATCTTTCACCATCTATCGTTTTCATACGAAATCGATGCAGTTGGGACAAAGAGGTACATGTGGTGAACTTAAAAATGTGAATAATGTTTAGCTATGGTGATATGTTGCATATTGACCAGTTAACGATCTTCAGGTACGATGCTCATTCTGGTGGTGAGCGTGAAATTCAGAGGACCATGTTAGAACTTCTCAACCAGTTGGATGGTTTTGATTCAAGAGGAGATGTCAAAGTTATCCTTGCAACAAATAAAATTGAAAGCCTTGATCCAGCTTTACTTCGTCCTGGGCGAATAGATAGAAAAATTGAGTTTCCGCTTCCTGATATCAAAACCAGAAGAAGAATATTTACGGTACACTCATTTCTTATTCATTTATGTTAACCATTTCACGTATTTACAAATTTGTCTGTTCATACAATCTTCAATGTTGAAGTCTCATTAAATACTCTCTTTTGGCAGATTCACACCTCAAAAATGACACTGGCTGATGATGTCAACCTAGAAGAATTTGTTATGACCAAGGATGAGTTTTCTGGTGCTGATATAAAGGCCATTTGCACTGAGGCTGGGTTGCTTGCCTTGAGGGAGCGCCGTATGAAGGTTAGATCTGATTTTCAACCTTCATTATGGACTTGAGATATCTTTCATTTTGAAGCTAAGTGACGTCTGTGAATTGATTTTAAGGAGTAAAATATTTTTCTCATATTAATGGAATTGATTCTTAATTTGAATTACTACGTATAAGATTTATAACTATTGGGCTATGTACTTTGACTGAATAAAAATGATGATCCTATTGAATATTTGAAGTCCTGAAGCATTATTTTTGATGATAAGCATCATGCGCAAATTTATTCTTGCTTGTGCTATTTTGTACTCTTCACTTCAGCTTTTCACCTAACTGTTTATTAACCAAACTGCACATTTGTTTTATAGCCTTTTGCATAAGAAATTACCCTTATACATTTGGCTTGATTTTGCTGTTCTGATAATCTATTGTTTTGTTATCTGGTGGCTCAAAAGGTTTTTTTTTTTCCTCAGTTTTCTAAAGATTTAATTTGATTGAAAAAATATTTTGACTGAGCTTTGGGACATGTGTGGTGTATCCAGGTTACACATACGGACTTCAAGAAGGCAAAAGAGAAGGTGATGTTCAAGAAGAAAGAAGGCGTGCCTGAAGGACTATATATGTGAAAAGCCTGCATCTATTATCGACTAGAGCTACATAGAACTTGTGTTTTTCCCCTTTAGGCCCTGTATATTTTTTCTTTTAAGTTATGATTATGATTTTGTTTTGTACTTTCGTAGATGTAATGTTTGCATCTATCAATGCTTAGTTTACGATCAATTATGCTCCAACATGTCTATAAAATGATTTGCATTTTCTGCATTTCGAGTTTTTGCTAGATGGATTTTGGGATGGTGGCCATGGGTGCCCCTCCATAATCTGAAAGGATTCTTGTCCATCTAATGAACTCATGTTTCTACTTTTATTTGGCACAATTCTGAAATTAGACTTGGAGACTAGAGGGTATACATAACTTTTGGTGTAGCTTTTAATGTTTTAACCAGATCTGAAAAAATAAGTAGCCTTTTGGCTGAGATGTTTATTTGGCTGAGATTAATTTTGCTTTGCCAGAGATGTTTATTTTGCTTTGATTCTTTGCCAAATCGCCAAAAGAGTACGCCAGGAAACTCTGTATTCATGGCAACAAATGAGTAATAGACTAATTGTTGATCAAAGATCGAATCAACAAAAATTCAAAATCAAGATTATCATAGCTAGAAAAAGCAGCTATTTTGTTTCTGATGGTACATATACTCCGGGAGGTATTATAGAATTACGCAAACTCATCAAACATATATTTTGACAACTAAAATATGAGTAAATATCTACTGTAAAATCTCTAATGCTTAATGAATATGCTCATGAAGATAGAAATTCTTCAACACATGAGACAAAAATCAATATCCTTCTCAAAATCAAATACTACTATCACCATAAGTCCATATTAAAAAAAGTTTACAATGTAACATCGAGAAAAATACGAATAGTGTCCATATTAATAAGTGCTTAGCTGATAAGAGAATTGTTCCTATTTATGCGAACCAGGCAATATCAAAACTTAAAAATAACAACACTCATTGGAAGAGCTTTCCTTCCAATCAAGGCTTAACTCAATTTAATTTGAATTAGCCGGAGTTTAGTAGACTTTGAATTACTTACGCTCCTAATTAAAAAAAAAAATGAGCTAAAAAATTTATAACGGGTGAACTGGTGAAGCGTTAAGGCTTTGGGTGAACTTTCATATTGCAAAAGGGGTTTGGTTTAAAATCGGCAGAACTCTCTTTGTAACAGTAAACCAGCAACACCATTATCAGCCATTTCTGAAGCTCTTGGTATATTTCTCTGATTCTCTCCTCTTTACAACTTTCGTAATTCTTTGCTTTCTATCATTCGTAGCCTTCATATTCTTGATTTCTTGAATGTCAATATTCTTGTATTATACATTCTTTTTTCAATTTTCTGGGCTGCTGTCTTTGAAATCATACTTAGGTTTAGGTAATTTTTAACAAATTTTGATGTTCCTTTTATTCAAATTTCTCGTATAACAATTTATATGTGGGTGTTTTTATTTTTTTGATTTTATAATTTAAATTTAGTTTGGGTTTTTCTGTTTTTTTTCATATTTTATTAAATGGGCATTCATATTTTGTACTCTAATTTGGTCAAGTATACCAAGAAATGTAATTTGAGTATGAATTATAATAAATAAATTTGGGGTTTGATCTTCTGTTTAATTGGTTTCCCCCCTTTGTGATTTTGTTGTGATGGAATAGATTGCTATAATAATAGATTATGTCTTTGTCAAAATTTGTTTTTGTAGGAATTGTAAGGGAGAAAAACTGTAAAATTGGTAAAAATGATTGATGTTTGGTTTAGCAGCTGGTGTTTTAATTATTATGGAGTATTACTTGTATTTTTTTAGGGTAATCCTGCATTATGCCATATGTAATAATGGTTCTTGTTTGCATATAGCTAAAGCTTCTTCTTGCGTAGCTAGCTTTAAGTCGCGGCCGAAAGAAGCATGGGTCCGCAGCAGTGTAAGGTCTGCAATGATGCAAAATCCAAATACAAATGTCCAGCATGTCTTGTACCATAGTAAGCAAACAAATGTTGTATCAACTGTTTAGGTTACAAGCTATTAGATATAACCTCCCTCCTCCACATTTGGTGTCGGTTTTTGTAGTCATTGTTGATTGTATTACGGACTTACGGTGTAGTTTATATTCATTTTCTGCTGATGTTTAATTATTGTGTCTTCTAAATTGCAGTTGCTCCCTTGCTTGCTTCAAGAAGCATAAAGGTATGACTATTGTTTATGGAGTTGTCCTCATTTATATACTATGGAATTGACATTGTGTTTGGATAGCCATGGTGGAGTGAAGGGTAAGGGAGAAGGAGAGAGAAGGGATATGAGAGAGGAAGGAGGAGGGAAAAAAGTGAATTAGCATTATCATTCCGAGTCGTTCCAACTTCAGAAGGATTTGGTTATTAAAAGAAAAGGGAAATCGGGTTCCTACATTTCTCTTCCCTTTCCTTGCCTCCATCTATGTCTAATCATCCATATTAATGAAAATGGAATCCTCACTTTCCTTTCCCTAAAATTTCCCGCATCCAAAAATTCTGTAAAAGTGAAACTATGTAATTTCAAGTTTGTTGAAGGTTCCTTTACAATATCTACAAGTTTGCTATTACTTTTTAGTTAGTTGAGAAAATGAGACAATGTTTTATTTTGACAAGTGTATGTTGTGATCAGAGCAAGAAAACTTTGTTAGGGTGAAAGGTATGCTTGATGATATAGCTATGCACTCTTTGTTTGTTGTCAAGATGATGGCTGATATGTGCTTATTTTATGTCAGAAACTCCTTGTGCTTCTGCGAAGTCAGTGGTGTCTGATGAAAAACCAAGTAACAACCTGTGTATCTTTGACTACACTGATATTGATTATTATTTTGGTGTACCTTGGTGCTTACTTCTGGTAATGATTGGTATTTCAACTGTGCAGAAACACCTACCGAAACTCCTTGTGCAGCTTCTAAAGCAGCAGTGTCCGATGAAGAACCAAGTACAAATCTTTATAAACTAAAAGATTATTTGTTATTTATTGTTGTTTTCGCATTTTCTGGTTATTACCTTTGGTAATGAATGATCTTTCTTTCATCTGTGCAGAAACATCGTATGCTATACCTGTATCCAGTGATAAAATACCAAGTAAGAAGCAGTTGTCTTATCAATATCTTCTAGTTTTTCAGTGGCTTCTGTCTATAATACGAAGTATATAGAATGATCTTATTTGAAGTGTGGTATAGTATGCCCTTCATTTGGTAGCCTTTTTAAAAAGTTTCACATATTGCAATTTTCGCTCTTTATTTGAAATTGGTTGAATATTGTTTTTAAAATTCTCCATAGGCTTGATAAAATGTACTACCTCCATTTTTATTTAGCTGACACCTTTCTTTTATCACATTTGCCAACGCACTATTTTAATGATTAAATATCTCTAATTCTCGACATTTCAAAATTATAAAAAGAGGATATTAATAAAATATACATTGAGACGATTCAAATAAAATCACACTTGACTATGTTTTATCGCAGCTATAAATCACAAAAGCTAGTCAGATGGTGTTAACTAAAAACGAAGTATTTCACTAAGGAGTATCAATATTAACAGAGAAAGCATTTGGCTCTCATGACCTATATATTTTCTTATGTTACATAACTGCATTATTATCCTGACATTGCTGTCAATGCTATGTGAATTGAAATTATGTACCTGAATTGTCTTTTAATATATGGCCTATTCATCTACTAATTTTTTATTTATTTATTTTCTTTTGTGATTTTGACAAACAGTGATTCCTCAAACGCTTACAGAAAGACCACTCTTCATTGATGAACCATGTGAAGTCTTGGATAAAGCTAAATTGGAATCCATAGGTATGACTCATCAAGTTGTCAAGTTGACTAGAAAGGGCTACTCATGCGTAGAACTTGTTTGAAGGTCTGAGTGTTTTTGGAGGTTGTCAAGTAGTCCTTCAATTCCATTCCAAAATATTAGTCGTTTAGCTAATTCGATATGATCTATTAAGTAAGTTGACAATACCAATACAACATTAAATGTCATTTCTATGTATTGCGTTGGCATATAATCATGTTAATATAGTTAATGATCAGCAGTCTGGGTTTGCAATTGAAAGCTTATGCTCTACATGCTTCAATCCTTACTAAGAGCATTATTAAGACACAATAGACGAATGACAATGCTGGTTTCTTTCTTCTTAAGTTCTGTCTGTCCTTTGTCCTTAATTTACATTGTCATTAATTTAAATGGAGTATTTTTTTTTTTTATTGAAAATGAGAATTTTCCATTCACAAGAAGGGTTTAGAACTTTAGATCTTTCAAGTGCTTCTTATACTTTTTAGTTTTTCACTAGTAGTTCTCTCTCTGCAGATTGTTTCCACCACCATCTCACTATGTAGAGCATTATACAGCACTATTCTGTGATGATGTTGGTTACTTAAGTTTTAAATTATCTTGAGGCATTTATTGAGATTAAGATAGTTTTTTGAGCTCAAAAGCATTCAGAGTGTGTTATCAGAACTAAAAATTAATAAATCTTATCTGTCATCCATGAAGTAGGGTCTGAATCTTTTCCGTGCTGTCTAGTTATGCATATCACACAGCTATCTTTCTGTGCATCATGTCCATCGTTAACCCAAAAGTCAATCAGCACAGGACATTTTTCGTATCATGACTTTTGGGACTGGCAACTCAGGATTTATCGGAAATTTAGGCCTCTTCACACTTTTTTCCTCAATTGTTTCAGTGGCTTCTTCTGAAATTCGAGATGCTTTGAAGAGTGAAGACCTCCAAAAGCTCATCTGCAGCATAGATGATTCCCCAAATGCTTTGGAAGTAAGTGAATATTATATTTTCCTGAGGCAAAAAACCTTTTGCTATTTTCAAGAGTTAGGTATTACTATTTCAAGCACTGTATAATGGAATATGCTTATGCCACATATCTCAATGATTTCAGGAGCTTGAAAAGATAATGGATGTAGATGTGTTCCGCATATTTTCTGACAAGGTAATCTGATAGTGCTATTTCCCTAGTCTTCCTACTACTCCCTCGGTCCCCAATTGTTTGCCCCAAACTAAAAAACCACTTTATTAAGGCTTGGGCAAAAAAGTGTGCACATGGGTTGACACAAATATCAATGAGGAGAGAGATAGAGAGAGTGTAAGTGGAAAAACATGCCAAAAGTAGTATGGAGCAATCTTTTAGGGACATCTAAAAAAGGCAAGTGGAGCAAACAATTAGGGACAGAGGGAGTATGACAGTAAGACTTGTCCATCCTACCTTTTAAGCCTGCCATTCGGCTGTGTCTAGGCTGAGGTTTTGTAGAAGGAAGCTTGTGGGCCATTTTGCCCTGAGTGAAGGGCCTGCCTTGGCCTGCTTCCATGCCTTCGTGACCATTTGAGTGAACTATGGTTAATATTGGTTGCTTTACTTGATTTGATTCACGAATTCTTCGTATTAAACTTCTCACACTCAATTTTCTTGTTTACAGGTATTGTCTGCAATGAATCCCTAGGAGAGTGTCTAGCCACTATGTTAGTGCAATTTTTGGTGAGTTTCTCTGTAGCAACATCCAGTTTGAGCCGATGCAGATAGATGTATCATGTATGTACTTGGTCAGACTATAACTGAATCAAGATGAACGAAGAAGAAGAAATTTATTGGATGTCAAGTGACCCCTTGTTTCCATTCCTCAAGAGATCATCAGCGGAAACAGTATTTTCTTGCGAGTTCAAGTGTTGTGGCGTTCTGTATTTTTTGTTAACTAGGTAATTGACTGGTTGGCTGACTATAAGGTAAAACCTGTTGGCTAAAAAAACATCGTGACGCATTAGAAGTGTTTGTGAGGTTATCTAGAAGCTTACTGCCAAAGCACAATCAATAGATCAAACAAGTTGCCAAAAAGGTTGTGCATTGAAATCTTCTTGTTTTTCTATCAATCCTAATCTAATCCTGTTGTCTTGTACTCGTATTGGGGTATGTAGTACGAGTCGAGTATGTAGTTAGCTAAGGCATGTTTTTTACTCGTATGAGTGTATGATTTGTTTGGCATAAAGAATTGTGATTGCGGTAAATATTTTAATGAGTAACAATTCACGTATAAGAAGGGAAAAAAAAATAGAAAAGAAGAAAGGGAGAGGTTCCTGTCATGAACAGACATAACCATAAACATTAGCTCGAGACTTACTTTGTATAACAGTGAGCTTACCATGTTACATGTTTGTAATTCTCAAAAATTTCATATAAACATTGTTACATTACCATTGTTGTTTTTACTGTCTGCCAAAATGCTGCTGTCGAGTTCGAGTATATGAATTATGTATTAACCTGGATAATAACTAGCTAATTGGTATATCAAGCAAGAAGGCACATACAGATTCATGAAGGCAATTCTTCTCAACCTCTGCATATTCTAAGCTTTTGTTATCTTTCTGTTAGTTCAACTCTGTATTTGTTGTTTGGCATGGTGCAATGCAATCGGCAGAAAGCCCGTTTATCAATTTCTACCAACTGTAAGATATTTGCAATTGTGTTGCACTGCACCAAACAAAATCACTAGCTGAACAAAAGCAAAATTATCGATTTTTGTAGAATAACATATACATGAGACTTTCTTCACTTGTTAGTTTTGTGTTTTTTCGCGGAAGATTTGTGCTCTGATCGCTTGAGGCCAGACTTGAGGGGGGGAAACAACTGTAAGGCCTCATGTTACAAAATTTTGCAGGCAATAGCCTTTGGCCGTTTCTCTAACCAAAAATATCAACCTGCTGCAACAGAAAATCATCTGTAAGTATTCTAAAACATCGAAAAACAAGAATTGGGTAGTAACTCAGCCTTGCTCTATTTGGTTCGATCAGATAGTTAAGCTTACGTCATTGATCATCATCGACTTCACTTTTGCTTGTGCTTGGCCCAGGTTGGCCGTCGCTTTTGCTAGTGCTTGCTGGTTTGCTTGACCCAGGTTGGGAAACAGGCTGGTTCTGTCAACAAACCAAGATCTTTCATTAGCACAAGGCCAAACAAAGCATTACCAACATCTTCCAACATTAATACAATGTAAGAAAATTTTTCAATACATGCAGAATTTTCAGACAGTTGAAGACACAGCTGGTATCTTGACACTCTTATTCATGTCCAGAAAAACGTAGTTAAGACTGAAAAACACAAAATGTTGATGTTCTGTCATGTTTTTTAGCATAGACATATTGGACGTTCATAAATATCCCCCAAAAATTACATATATTAGGCAGAGTTACCTGAGCTGCTTGCATCTGCATTTGCATTTGCATCATCTGCATCTGTTGGAGAGCCATGTATTGCTGATACGGGTCAGCCACGTTAGGAAGTTGTGGCAGGCCGGGACTTTGAACAGGAACTGAGCTACGGACAGAATCTGCTTGAATGCTGGTTTGGTTTACAGAGAAATTGGAAGCAGGAGAAGAAGGCATATGAATGGGCGGGACAGTGAATCTTGGACCAAATTGAGGCCCTGCTGCAGTTGCAGGAGAGCTTGTCAAGTTAGCAGCAGGCATATTGGGTGGAAATGGCATCATCGGGCGATTCATCCCCACATCCATTCCCATACCCATCCCCATTCCCATCCCCATTCCCATTGGTGGCATGTATTGTTGCTGCATTCCAGGGTACATCATCGGAACCATCCCACATCCCATTGACATCATCTGGTAAAAATTGATCAGCTTCAGTTTCACTGACACAAGTATAAGGGTATCAAAAGGAGGAATAGAGGGTAATACCTGAACTTGCATTTGCAGTGACTTCAAATATTCGATTGCCTCATCAAGCATTGAAGCTTTATCTGACTGTATTCAAGGACGAAGAAAACTCTAGTAAAATGTTGTGTGTATTTGTATATCAATTCGTTTAGCCTGTTTAATAGGCAATGAATGATAAATGACGATAATGTTAATGATAATGTACTTACATGTAACTTTGTAAGGAACCACCAAAGTTCATGGTAATGTAACTCCATCTCCAAGGAACTGTCTTCTTTCATAAACTTTCATTACCACTCAATAAATATGCCACCTCAAAGGCGGTAATGAAATTTATAAAGAAAAGCACAAACTCAGGGATAATGTTCCATTAACATAAACTTTGGATGAACTTTCCTTACAAAATTATTCATACTTTTTCATTACAATCACCATTTACTACTACAACCGAACTAGCCATGTAATGATGCAAGTATATAGGAGTATAAGATTAAGTCTTTATACCTTGTTGCAACGAGGAATGAGTTCTTGCAATGCCTTCATCTTCTCATTAATCCTGTCTCGACGTCTCTGCAGTCCAACACTTGAATTATCAGAGAGGAAACTTCAAGAATACAGAATTTCTATTTGAAAAAAACAGGATACTCACCCTCTCAGAGAGGTTGTGGACCTCTGCAGCACGAGATCTCTTCGAGCCATGTGAGCCACGGGAATGCTTCTTGTCATCGTCATCATCACCTTCAAGCTCTACATCCTTGTGTAAATTTAAATTCGCTGGTTAGTTTGTTGAAAACATAATATCATAGTGTTCAAATATATCTTATGCAGCAAAAGAAATGGAAAATGCTTTGTATGACACAGCTTTTCAGCTTGTTTTTTTGTTTTCTCTACCTTTTAAAAAAATTGAGATATTTTTTTCATAAAAGTATTTGTTTATATATTTTCTGTCGAAAATATACCAACAACTAAAGTTGTGACATAAAGTAAACTGAAAGAGATTTCCAGACATGACTAGCTATGAGCGTGCTAACCACCCTAGTTTCATGAAAGAATTAACAAATGTTACATAAGAAAAGCCTTTGGTTTGAGTTTTCATTTAGCTTACTTATGCTTTCGACCTTACACCGAGATGCAAGACATGGAGGGTAAATGCACCTTAAGAGTCACAATACTTTGTCACAGAAATCACAAGAAACTAGATGAAACCCGTGCGATGCACGGATCGATCTATTTTTTTTTAAAAAAAATTATTCATATTTATGTAATTACATTTGTTATTTTATTAGTTGTATGTAATATATCATTTTCTCCGTATTTGTTTTAAAGTATTAGATAAAATTTCTAATCTCAAAAGATAATATTTCGTATTTAATTAATATAACCGTTAAAATCTCATTGGTCATTTATTCTTATGTGGCACTTGAATTATTTATTGGATATAACTATAATTTATAATCTTACGTGGCACGTTAACTAATCTTAGGTGGCATAATCCAATTGTAGCGTTTAAAAAATATTAATCCTGTGTGGTGCTCTAATAATTTTTTAAAAATAAAAATCCTACGTGGCGCTCTAAAATCTCGGGAAAAACTCTCCTTTATATATATATATTAGATTATACTATCGTTGTCCATATATCATATTATGGATACTAACTAGTTTAATTGGTTGACTCTTTCTACAACAAAAGCATTACTAAAATTTCAAATTATACAATCAACGTGTGTATTTTCAGACGGAAAGAATATGCTATCCCATTAATAACCTTTAGATAAGAGTGTGGAACTTCTTAGCAACCTCTACAATAAAAATATAAGCTTATTTGTGTTTGTCTAGTACAGATTACAGAGTAATATCGAATGTTCAATTTAAGCTAAACAAATTAGCCTTCTAATGAATATGCCATGTAGGAAATAGTATTAAGAAGACAGAAGTCACACACTCATACATGATATTGTCTAGTCTGAATTTTTCAAATTTGATTATAATAAATTTATGTAGTAATTTAATGCAATAAAATGAAGATAACATAGCCTAGTATCTTCTTTATGAGTTTCACATAAAACGAACAATGGAGTTAGGATTCTTAGGAAAGAGCACCGTTTCTAAGTTTTGGCTGCATTTCAATCTATAGATTACATGGTTCAGCTTAATGTGTGAGGAATAAATACTAAAAATAGGAATGTAATTTAGGGACGAAGGGAGTACCCCTTATCCCTTCAAAATTACAACAAGGGCACATTGATCTCAGTAAGGTTTTAGCAAAGGTACGTCCTAAAAGGAGGGTAAACACACCTTTGGGCATGTTATATGATATAGCTTTTGATCATCTCTAAACGAGGTTAATCATCCCGATTGGGCATATATTTCATAATAAATACAATTAATATAATCACGTGAAATCTAATTAGCTTTCTTTTAATATCTATTTTAAAAACGTCAAATTTGTTCCTACCAATTAGACATTTATGCATACAAAATTAAAGATACGAGTATATACTTCGTATATTTTAGAACGTGTCTTAGAGATTGTAAAATAAGGACAACGAGAAACTGTAGATATTTTCCTTTTTCTTTTTTTTTTGAAAGAAGAAAGAAAAAAAAAGGTGTGAAAAGAAAGAGGTTAAAGGATAGAGAATATATGCGGCAAGTCACACCCACATGGGCACATGAAATAGTAAGACCCATGCTACGACAGTGAAAGTGGGCCTTAACCACTTAACTCCAATCCATAAACACAGACCACACGACAAATCTCACCCAAACTTTTATACTTGTCAATTACTATCCCTTAATTTTTTTTATTTTTTTTATACACATTCTAGTATACTACCCCTTAATTTTGTATACTACCTCCGTTTCATATTATTTGCAACGATTAGACACTTTTCCTCTCTACTTTATGTCAAATCGTTGCAAGTAATATGAAACAAAGGTAGTATTTGAAGTAAATTATCCACTTCTCTGTCTCTTAATGTTTGTCCTATATTCAATTTAAGACCTTTCGACACAAAAAAAAAAAAAAAATAATAATAATAATAATTTTTCATTTTGATCAATGAATTATACTTTAACTCTCATTTTTTTTTTAAATAAAAATTCACTTTAGTTAAAAATATATTTGGCCTGGGGTGAATAATTAGGGACGGAACCCTCTATCTTGAATACTTAGCGTATTTTGACTTTCACATTATATGTACATTAATTTTAATTATATTTTCTTATAATTATATATTTATAAAATATAATTGTGTAATACTTTGAGGATAGATAGTCAAATATATACTCTATTCACAATTAGATTAGTAACAGTTGTAAATATTCAAGAACGGAGCCACAACTCTACTGCTGGGATTGATTCTATTCTATTTTACTTGTACATGATTTGATAGCACCGCCGTAAAACTCACCACTCACAGTACTCATTATGACTCTCTACACATGGCACAATCAATGCTTGACATGTCAGCAACAACCTTGACCAACTTCAACCACGTATACAACAAGAAGCAATAGTTCTCCATGTAAAAAAGGCATAAAAGCACCCCCAAAAACCAATAATTAAAGTCTAAAAAGGGTAAGAACTAGGAAGTCAAATTTTAACATAAAAAATCACCCAAATTTGAAATAGGCCGTATTAATCATAACATTTTTCTTTAATATTCGTTTTATTACGTATATTAATTGCAACACTTTTATATTTGGAAAGGATCTATCATTACTTTATAATTTCTCTCTCCCGCTAATCCTACTTTCACAAATATTTTACTCCGTATTACTTATCTTTCCTACCAACCTGACTTATACTACGAGTACTTTTTTTTAAATTTCTCTCCTACTAACCATACTTCATATTATTAAAAATCCTATTTTAGGCCCTACCCTATAAACTTTCTTAAACTTTGTAAACACCCTTTAATACAAAATGGAGGGAGTATAACACGCTATACGAAATTTTACCAAAAGCATGTCAAATGGGAAACTAAAAAAATTACACTCGAATTATTTTTTCATTGTTTGATTTGTAAGGGTGAAATATTTATTATTTTCAATAACTTGAAAAAAAAAATTCTCCATATTAAAAAGAAAGAATACCACATTTATCAGGAAATCAATTTTAACACAACAAAAATTGATGTAAGCATAAAAACCTAAATTTTGGTACATTTAGAGGTGTGCCAAAATTAATTTTTAATGTGTCAAAATCATTTTCCCCTTTCAATCTCTCCTAAACCTATAGAAAAAAACTTTTACATGCTCTGTATAAACTATAATAAGATTATGGATTAATACATTTTATTATAATATTAATTTATCTAAACTTATATTAATTTCTTTAAAATTATTTTACTTGAAAATTCTAAATTAATTTTATATGAACTTATCTTATTTCATAACAACAAAACCTTAATCTCAAAATGATTTGAGGTCGGCTAACATGAATCGTCATAAGCAATCTTTGGATATGAAGAAAAGGACATAACATAATAATCATTTAAATAAACTTATTTTATTTTATCTGAATTTATTTAATTTAATGTTAATTTTTCAAAACTTCTATATTACTCAATTATTAATCATACTCCCAGAATTCTTTTCCAATTTAGTATATTAACTAATGGAAATACCGGGAGGGAGGAGATAAAGGCCGCCCCATGGCGTTATTTTACATTTTTATTCTTGGATTTTTTTTTTTTTAAAAATATTTTCTTTGATAATGTTTCATTTATCACCTCCGTTAATTATTACTCTGTATGTACAACTTTGGAATTTTTTATATCTCACAAATTTACCCTAAAGTTATACATAATAATTAATTAACGAATGTACAAATAGTATTTTATTTTTGATATATGAATGTTCAAAAATATTAGGAGTCGCGAAATGGTATTATTGCACCAAAATAAACTAGACAACAAAAGAGGACCCATATTCAATGCAGATAATACACTGAACCTATCTTAAATACTTGCACGACATAGTTAGTTGTGTTATCTTCTTTAATTTTTTTAGCTATATTATTGCATGATTTTTTGTTCCATCATATTCTTTACATTATTAATCTTCCTATACAAGTAATGTAACTTTCTAAAAAAAAAGTTAGTCATATAATGTAAAAGTCAAATTATAATGTACAGTATGTATGATAAATAATTAAAATTAGGAAAATGTTATATATAACACTTAGGTTTACATAAAAAATAAATAAATAAAAAATTATTATCATGCATTTATAATCTAATACCAAGAACATTAAATGCATATTCTTAATATAAGGGCTACATATAGCATTAGGGCATTACCCATAAAATTAACCTAATAAGGAATACTAATTAATCTATATGAGTACTTCATAGCATCCACAAGACTACAATGGTTGTATAAAAGAACCTACTAACAGTTTATAAATAATTACTAGCTATGTACATGCTAGATTGCTAGCCATTGTGGAGCTACAACCTTTGTAGCTAAGCCAAACTACATACCTCTAAGTCTCTAACTCCACTCAACACACATATTAATTTGTTTAATAATTTTTTATGTATTTGTTTGTTTGTTTGTTATTTTAATAATTTATTTATTATAAAAGGATATAGCCTACTATAGTAGAAATGATAGCTTAAATCTTATAACTTGGAGATTACTGATGTGACAACCCAAAGCCATGTAGTTAGCCATCGTGAATGCTCTAGATTATTACTTATTCCATACTTCGTTACATTAACTCTTAAAGACCTATGTTGGCCTTTCCCTCATAAACTCTTTAAGATAGGTAATCACATAATATAACTACACTATTAATATCTCAGTATATCCTTAAACACGCTCAACCAACTAATTTAGTTAACATCCAAATATTATCGACAAACCAATAACTAAAGAAAATCAAACACATCCTATATGCCAAAATGAAGAAGGTAATTAACAAACTCACTTGATCAATGGCCGTTGTAGAAGGGGTCAAAGATACATCATTTTCTCTTCGCTTTCTCTTTCGATCCTCTGCTTCATTCTTAATCCCTTTATCCCTCGCATCTTCAGCGGCGGCCTTAGAAGGGCCGCCGCTATACCCACCAGACGACGATGACACCGTCACCTCCCCACTCTCTTTCCTATCCAACACAAAATCACTGCCACCAATTCCACCACCGCTGGGAAAAGCAGATGATACTTCCCCTAAACTCTTCATTGTCACCAAAGCCGGTGTCGTATTCGAGTCCACCACGGTTAACTCCGGCCTCAAACTCGACGACGCCTCGGGATCTTTCCCGCGCATTCTTGAAAACATTTGAAAATTCTTAGTCGGTTTCGGGGGTGGAGGTACAGGCGGTGGCTTCACTACTACCGCTATAGCCGCAGGAGGCCAAATCTGTTCGGCCTCCTGCGGCTGTTGACGCACTACCGAAGTAGCAGCGACCGCTGGAAGTTGAGTTGGAGTTGTCTGATTATTATTATCACCTAACAGATCACTATACAAGTCCTCTAACGGGTAGTGAAGCCACGTTGCCATCTCATCTTCGGCCATGTATAACTGTTGTTGCTGCTGTTGCTGTTGTTGCTGCTGTTGCTGATACTGCGATTGTGTTTGTTGCGGAGTACTAGACGATTGCTGTTTTCGTTGGTTTGGAGGTTGCGCAACAACTTGACCATCTTGCCATAACAACTCCAGAATCTCGTCTTCAGCCCTGTTCACAATAAGTGACACCCGTATAAAATTACACGTGACTATTAATTCAATCAATTAATCCCGAGCTGAAAATAAAAAAAAAAAAAAAAAAAAAAAGCTCGGAAAAAGTTCTGTACTTGTTGTGATGCGTGACCGTAGATGATGTAGAAATCAGGTGTTGGTCGTCTTCCATTTCGAAATCCGGAACATAATAGTTCATCATGTAAGTATTATTCTTACTATACTAGTAACTTTTCTTTTATATAACTCACAAAAATTTACCTTTTTTGAAACTGCAACAAGAATAAAATAAAATTATTAACCAAAAAAAAAAAAAAAAAAAATTCTGTACTAGTAGAGAAAATAACATTAAATTTCGAGAAAATTGGAGAAGGTACTAGAAGAAAAGTGGTAGTACCTTGTAAAATCACCGGCATATATATATAAATACAATTTTACACTAGAAAACAGTTAAGTATAAAAATTCGCCGACTTAGTAAAATTAATCGACGAATTTTCAGAGAAAAAAAATAATAATCCCCTTTTGAGTTTTTTCTACAAACGACAAATAAAATGGAGTAATAAATTTACAGAGGTGAGCAATGAGGCAAGCTAAATAGGGAATAATAATTTATTTTTAAAAAAAAAAAATTGGAATTGGAAGGTTTTTTTATTATTAATTTTTTTTTTTTTTTTTTTTTTTTTTTTTTTTTTGGTTGTTGAACTATTTTGGTATATTTGGGGATAGAAATGAGGAGGAATAAAAAAAATAAAAAAATTGTGATTAGTTTTGTGGGTTATTTGAGCGGTGGGTGGGGGAAACTTGAGAAGAAGATAAGATTTTCTTTGTACAAAGTTAGTACATTTTTGTGTGTGTTTTTATACTCTGAACATTGTCTCTTCGAATAGGAAAAAGTTTAAATGGGAAACACGTTCTTTGCTTGATACACTGACGAAAGAGTTTTTATACCTTCGTTCTATAAATATCACGTTTGTCTTTTTTGGTTTTAATTACGATTATTGTAACCATTCTGTTTAGCATAAGTTTACTACTCTTATCTTTGTTTCTCTAGATGTACGGTACCTGTAATCGAACTGTTTTCGAACTGGTTGGATCCAAAAAAAAAAAAAAAGAATCCAAATCTGATCCGGAATCAATTCGAAGTTAACTCGAATCATTTTTACTCGGTAATTTACGATCCAAACCCAACTTGATATCGACTCATTGTTTATCTGAAATCAATCCGTAATTAACTCGAAATCGATTTTACCCGGTAATTTACGATCCAAACCCAACTTGATATCGACTCATTGTTTACCTGAAACCAATAAAACTCGATAATTCAAGACCTAGATTCAATTTAACCCGAAACAAAATCTACCCGAAACCATTTAAACCTGAGAATACCTCATTTTACCCGCCCCTTATTAGACCCGATCCAAAACTACCCACGACCCCATTAAACTCAACCCAAAGCTTATTAGTTAATTAGCTATCGACTTATTGATTATAGTGGAGACCAAAGGAGAATTTTAAATAAAATAAAAGTGTAGTTAATGAGGGTTATATTTAATTGTTAGTAGAAGAGAGAGATTCTAAAACACTTGTTAAATACACTTGTTAAATAGGGTTGATATATAGGAGTGAACGATAATTAATATACTTGTATAGAAAATAGCTCAATAATGGGTTTAAAATTACATGATTGATTCAAACTAAGATCTAATCAAAACTAAATTGATTGTAACTGAAACCTAACTGAATTTACCTGATCTAAAGTTTATTAAAGCCATTTTGACCCAATTACACCCAATTAAATCCGACTTCGAGCTCCCCTGATCAACTCGATATGACTCGACCCAAATTTGTTTGTACCTGACCATACCTGGACCCACCTTTGACTCGAATATAATTAAACTTGATCCGACTTGATTTGGTTTGTTAGGATAAAATGACCCGTCATTACCCGATCGAAATACCTCAACCCATTGTGGGTCAACCCAAACTACATCTAGGTACCCGATTGGACACCTTTAGATGTATCCGAGGAGAAGATTAAGAAGCTTAATTCTCGCTGATTAGAGGTGATCATGGGTCATGCTGAGCTTTGCCTAAAAACCGGCCCATTTTAAGCCAAAAATCGTTGTCCAATGTCAAGTTGGGCTAGGTCGGGCTAAAAAAAACCCTAAATGTTCCCTTTTTGGGGAGTCATGCTAGGTTTGATCACCTTTAATTTATCACCGACATGTTAGAAAACAGGTTTCGATATATAATTTTCAAAAAGATAATGCTACATGCATGTAATCTTTAGGGTATAGAGGTGTTTAAAAATCCAAGCTGGGTAGAGCCTTAACATTAAACCTCATGCCCAAATTTTTGCAATAAGTGATCGGCTTGTCGGACCAAAGCGGATTTTTCAAGCCCTTTCAAACGGGTTCAGGTTTCTTCGACTAAAAAGTGTATTTTGGTTTGCCCAAACCAACCATTTTTTCAGGCTAGGCTAGCGGTCCAAGTTGTATTAGATCACCTTTACCTTAGGGCTATAAATACGCAAATTTTTAGCTAGTCCCGAGTCCATCCATTTCTAACTGGTCCCTCATTTTGAAAATGAACATTTAATATAATAAAAATGAACATTTTCTTGCTACAGGATATTTATTCTTATTAAATTAAATGTTCATTTTCATACTATCAGATGTTCATTCTTATAATTATTTAATGTTCATTTTCATACTATCAGATGTTCATTCTTATAATATTAATGTTCACTTTCATACTACCAAATGTTCATTCTTATGATATTAATGTTTACAATTTAATATAACAAAAATGAACATTTTCTTGCTATAGGATATTTAATCTTACAAAATTAAGTGTTCATTTTCATACAATCTGATATTCATTCTTATAATATTAATGTTCACAATTTTAGCAATATATATATTCCTAATTATACTAACTCTGATTGACTGACTCTATCACTCAATATATTAAAGTATTCCTACTTTCCCATCCCCCAAACACAATAAGCCCAATAACATCTATACAATTCGTTAAATTAAATATGAAAAAACCCCACCAATTTTTTGTCATCGTCTTCCTCCAAATCCATCACCATTTTCTCTCTCCAAACCTTCAAAGTCATTTTAAAATGGTGGCAGCAGTACGAGCCACATCCTCCATCATATCACGTGCAGGTACCTTCACAATTCCGCCATTGATGGGCGGAGCTTAGTGTCATCGTCATAGGCGTGATGAGGTCATGTGGATGCGGCACCTAAAGACCATATTCTTGATGTCACCGTAGCTTTCTTGGCAAATCCTTTTCTTAACAAAGTCAATGCTTATTTATACGAATAATCATTATATTGCATGAAAATAAACATTTATTTTATAAGAATGAATATCATACTGCATGAAATTAAACATTTAATTGCTGAGAAATATTATATTATTGTAAAATATGTTCAATTAGAAAATGTTCATTTTTTATATAAGTAAATGTTCATTTTCGAACGAGGGACCGTGAATATATACCTGGCCTCGAGACCATCCTTCAACAACTGCTACAAATAACTAAATAAGTAATTAGTATCTTTCCTTATTTGGTATAAGTTTAGAAATGCATGACAAAATCATACATGTGTTAGCGTATGAATATATTTCATTAATACTTTTCTCTTTTAATTTAAATTCTTAGGGCCTGTTCTCATTGACTGAACTCAGCTGAACTGAACTGAACTGAGCTGAGCTGAGCTGAACTGAATTGAACTGAAATGAATATTTTATAAGAGAAGAAAATTAGGAGCTGAGCTGAACTGAACTGAACTGAATTGAATTTCAACGTAAGAGAACAGACCCTTAATTTCTTATACATGTGTAATATTATATATGTAGCTCTTAGGACTACATAAGTACATAACATTTAATATCTTTGCTTATTTGGTATAAGTTAAAGAATGTATGACAAACTCACAGAGTTATATGTACTACCTCTGTTTCATATTATTTGCAACAATTAGACATTTTTTCCTCTCTACTTTATGTCAAATCGTTGCAAATAATATAAAACGGAGGCATTATATTGACGATTAAAGAAACATTGAACTTTTTAGAAACAAAAACAAATGGGTATTTACAAAAGAAAAATAGAGTATTCTCCTTCTTGACCTTAATTACTCCTTGTTATGAACATTTGTAACTTTATAAGTTACAACACTTGTTTATGCACGTAATTTTAGTAACGTTATGTAGTACATGAAAATGAATAAACAAGGATCAGAGTTAATTAAGGTATTTCTAATTATTAATTGTGGGTGATACACTAGTAGAAAATATCAAAAAGGCACCCCCTAATTGGCACCGGTTCAGTCCAAACCGGTGCCAAAAATAGGCTACAAAATTGGTGGGAAGGTAAAAGGCACCGGTTCACTTCAAACCGGTGCCTTTGTGAACTGAACCTTTTAATTATTTAAAAAAAAAAACCGGCCTTATCTCTCCTTAAAACCCTAAAGCGCACCTTGCTCCTCTCTCTCCTCTCAATCCGCCTCTTTCACTCTCTCCTCTCCATTCTCTCTCCTCTCCTCTCCTCTCCCTTCTCTCTCCTCGATCTCTCCGTCCCATTCACTTCTCTTTCTCTACAACAACAACAACACCACCGCAACAACACCACCGCAACAAGAACAACACTACCACCGCAACAACACCACCGCAACAACAAGGGTTTCACCACCGTAACAACAACAACAACAACATTAAGGGTTTTTTGTATCAATTTTTTTGCGTTTCTGGGTTTTTGTTTCACTTCTCTTTCAATTTTTTTTGTTTTCTGGGTTTTGTTCGATTAAAATCAGATTGGGTTTCTGGGTTTTTGTTTTTGCGTTTCTGGGTTTTTGTTTTTGCGTTTCTGGGTTTTTGTTTTTGCGTTTTGGTTTTTCAAATTGGGTTTCTGGGTTTTGGTTTTTTTCAGATTGGGTTTGAATTTTTTTTTCAATTTTTGGGATTAAATTCTGGGTTTTTTTTCGAAGCTTAATTGTATTAATGTTTTTTTTTTAATTAATTGGTGCAGATTCATATATGAAATCGAAGAAGCAAGATACTGGTGTTTTTGTTTTTTTTTTTATTAACAATATTGTAATTTTTTTAAAAAATTTATATCGTAATTTTATTTTTGTATTTATATGTTGTAATTTTTTTTTGTATTTATATGTTGTAATTTTTTTTTTATTATGTATTGCAAATTTGCAAATTTTCGATGATATTGATGTTGCAATTTTCGAAGATATTGATGATGTTTTAATCGATTTATATTACGTTTTGATGTTGTTATGTATTTTAGACTAATTAATTTTTAAGTGGAAAAAACAAAAACAAAAAATTATATTTTTTGGCATTTTTGGCACCGGTTAACCGGTGCCAAAAACAACAAAATTATTTTTTTTGGCCATTTTTGGCAACGGTTAACCGGTGCCAATTACGAGTTTTGGCACCGGTTCGAACCGGTGCCTTTTAATAACCCTTTTTGGCACCCCCCACATAGGCACTGGTTCAAACCGGTGCCTTAGGCCGGGTTTGAACCGGTGCCAAATTCCTTTTTTCACGTAGTGATATAACCATACAAAATTAGTCCAAGGAGAATATGGGAATGGAATGAGAACATAAAAATGAGTTATCCTTTTTTTCTTCTCTTTCAATTATAAAATTATAACTACTCATTTTGTAATCATGTATTAATATAGGTATATGATCGATAATAACTTAATGGCCCAGTTTTTTTTTGTTTGAGATTCTAGTGGGCAGGGTAGGGCATAACACTATAGCAGAGCAGACAGATTTCAACAAAGTAGAGCAGGGCTTCCAACACGCTGTAGAGCAGAGCAAATTTCAGCAGAGCATAGCATAACAACTCAAAAGAACAGGTCCTAAATATAATAATATAATTAATATATAATCGATACATAAACCTAATTATAAGAGTCAGGGCTTCCAACACGCTGTAGTACTACTAGTCTACTACGCCGGAATTTCACTCCACTTAAAATCTTGGGATTGTAGTATTGTACTAAAGTGTGCACATTTTTTACTTTGCTACTTCATATTTATAAGATTCAACTGAGTGATGCTACACATACAATGGTTGTATGTGGTAGCCCACTTACAATACCACTGTATGTATGTCACGTCAAAAGGGAGGAAAAAATTAAGAGGGAAAAAAATAGGAGAAGCAAGATAGGAAATGTGGGCCCCAAAATACAAACCAATCAAATGCTGCCAACAATGGTTGTATGTGGGCTACCACTTACAACCATCAAAATGGCTACTTTTACAAAACTACTTACCAAAACGGCTACTTATCAATATTAATTCCAAAACTAGCTAATTTATTAACTTTGAAGGAAATTATTTATTTCTTATTTTTCTTTGAACTAGTTTGGTTCTCTTTATGGTTTTTTTTTAAAAAGAATTTTTTTTATTTTTTTTGAAATAATTTGGTAAAAGGGTAGCT